AGCCGGCGGGTTGGCCGCGAGGTGCGCGGCGTGGTACTCGGACATCATCGTGAGCGCGATCCAGAGGCCCTCCTCCTCGTTGTAGACCGCCGCGTCGTCGATCATCTCGACGCGCACCATCTGCTGCAGCGCCGCGATGCGCGCGATCTTCTTCCGGTCGTCGTACTCCTTGATCACGCACGGGTAGAGCTTGTCCTCGTCGTCCTTGGAGCAGCCGTCCCAGAACTTGCCCATGACGGAGGAGCGCTTGCCGATGAGCGCCGCCATGTCGCTGCCCTTGAGCGACCGCCACTTGCGGAAGCCCTTGAGCGTGTTCACCATGATTTGAATTTCAAACGTAGAAATCGTCTTTTGTTCTCCGGCCTTGGCGCGAGCCGCCTTCGGGCAGCGTTTTTCGTTAGCTGTTTTTACGGAAGATATAAATGATGATTGCACTTTTTTGTAATAAATGTGCGCACTACAGGCTTCGAGAGCGTACGGGGACGCAGCGTCGACGCCGTCCTCGCGGCCCCGTGGCCGACGGACGGCAACTCTTCTCTGGTTTTCGGACGGGCGTCGTCACCGGCACCGTAACCGGACGGCCCCGGATCTCACCGTAACCGGAACCGTCCTAGAGCCCCAATAACCGTGTAAAAACCGTAACCGTACCGGAACCGTCACCGCGTCGACGGGGGGGCTGACCGTAACCGTACCGAAGCCGGTTTTTTACGGTTTTCGGTTACTAACCCTAACCGAAGTGCTCCCTGCTTCACGTGCGACGGCGCCAACGCGACAGCCTGCGCCGTCGACAAGTACGTCGACGACAACGAGTGCCTCGAGTGCCCGACCGGCTTCACGTGCGACGGCGCCAACGCGACGGAGTGCGCCGTCGACAAGTACGTCGAGAACAACGTCTGCCTCGAGTGCCCCGCCAACGCCACGTGCGACGGCGTCGACGCTCAACAGACCCATCGGCGACTGGGACGTGTCGTCGGTGACGCGTATGTCCGCGACGTTCTTCAACAACGCGTTGAAGTCCGCCTTCAACGCGAACATCAAAGGTTGGGATGTGTCGAAGGTGACCGACATCGACTCCCTGTTCCGAGGCGCCTCCGCCTTCAACGCGGACATCAGCGACTGGGACACGTCGAAGGTGACGAGAACATACGGGACGTTTGGACCCGCCGCCGCCTTCAACCAACCCATCGGCGACTGGGACGTGTCGAAGGTGTTTTATACACAAGATATGTTGAACACTGCCGTCGCTTTCAATCAGCCCGTTGGCGCCTGGGATGTGGCAAAGGCGGCGGACATGCGCTGGATGTTTATTAACGCCGTTGCTTTCAATCAGGACATCGGCGACTGGGACGTGTCGAAGAATGGCAACATGAACAGTATGTTCAAAAACGCCTCCGCCTTCAGCCAGGACATCGACGCCTGGGACGCGTCGCAGGTGTCTGATATGGGGGACGCGTTCGTTGACTCAGGTCTTCAGTCGTGCCCGGACTGGGCCAAGTTCATTTACAACGCAGGAGGCCCTTGCGCCTGGAAATAAATCTGAGTGCAATATTAAGAAGATCATAGACTGGGAGGCCAAGCTTCTTTCGCGCCCATGGAGCCTTTGCACCGCACTCTCCAGATCTAGAGCAGCGACAAAGCACGAGCGCCCGCGCGCGTGACATTTAGCCCACGTTGATCATGCATTCCAGAGCATGTTGCTGTGAAGCTCTGAGCAGTATTGCAATGAGCGCGCGCAATGCGCGGCGCACGCTCTCGTAATCCACGCTAGCCACTAATAATTTGGCGAGCAATCGCGGCTCGCCCTCGCCTCGACACACACGCCTCACGCCTCCAGATCTTACAGGAAGGTGTCCGGGTCCAGGTCCCCGAGGCCGAGGAAGGCGAGGAGCCTGCCCGCGTCGGGCGTGCCCTCGAGGAGGTTGGACACGTTGAATTCGCCGCCCTCGTAGGGGAAGCGCGCGAGCGCGTCGCCCGGGACGGAGCGGTGCGCGGGCCACTCGAAGCGCGTCGGCGCGAAGCGGAAGGACGCGCAGGCGACTCGGAGCTGCGCCGCGGAGAGCGCCAGGTGCGGGTGGAGCTCGGCGCCGCGCTTCATGGCGTCGTGCGAGAGCATGCCGTAGATCTCGCCGTCGTAGCTCAGGCAGCCCGCGTCCGCCGCCGCGGTGAGGAGCGTGTGCCAGAGCGGGTACTGGTCCTTGAAGCCGCAGCGCTCCTCGATCCAGCCGTCGAGGACGGCGCTCGCGAGGGGCGACCGGCGCGCGTAGAACGCGCAGCCCTTGACGTTCCAGAACGGCGCGGCCGACCCCGCGTTGCTAAAAAAGCTCAGGTCGAGGGTTCCCGCGCCGTGGATCGCGTCGGCGAGGCGCGGCTCCTGCAGCGCGGCGACGTCGAAGTAGGAGTCGAGGTCCGCGTAGAAGAGGCCGTCGACGCCCGGCCGGTCCAGCACGGCGGCGGACGCGGGGATCTTGTTGTAGTGGTTGCTGTTCAGCGCCTCGTAGCCGTCGCCGCGGCCGTAGTAGGCGGACTTGAGCCTTCGCTGGTCCGGGAGCATGCCCTCGGCTAAGAGCAGTTGCCCCTGGCGGCTGCCCCGGCAGCCGCCGTTCACCGTCGTCGCGAGGCCCTCGGGCAGCTCGCCGATCCACACGAAGACGCGGTGCCCCGCCGCCTCGCCGTAGCACACGTGGTTCACAAAGTAGGGCCAGAGGCGGAAGAGGTAGCCCACGGAGCTCGCGACCATGAGGTCCGCGGGCGCGGAGCCGTTGATAGTCTTTGAGCTCCTGTATTCGCAGAGCCGCGGCGTCGATGCAAAGTCGTCCGCGGCCGCGGCGTCGGGCTCGAAGACGATGCGCTGCCGCGACGGCCCGTAGGGCGCCGGCCGGCCGTAGGCCACGGCGAGCGCCGGCCGCGTCCCGCCGACTTTGCCGTCGCGGATGCCCAGGCGGTAGCGGAACTCGCAGGTCACGTCCACGGGGCCGACCTGCGCGCGCCAGCCGTCGTCCCAGGCGCCGCTCGACCAGCGGTCCTCCCAGCGCTCCACGTCCGTCGCCGCGGAGCAGCACGCCGCGAGCAGCAGCAGTCGTACCATTTTTTATCGCATCATCGAGAGCTCTCAACACGTAAATTACGATGTTTACCCCCTCAACTTGAACGCGCTGGGAAAAGGCTTATGGCACATCGTAAAACGCCCGAGTAGCAGCCCCTCGGACATGGCCTGGCTCTACCACAAGATCTTCGACACGCACAAGGAGCTCACGCGCGACGCCGCCCTCAAGAAGCTCCCCAAGGTGTCCCTCGAGAAGCTGGTCGAGTCGAAGTCCCTGCGCGCCGGCGACGTGCTCCTCGTGCGGAGCGACGCCGAGGTCCCCGGCAGCGACCTGCACTGCCACCCGCAGGTCTCGCGGGGCGTCGCCGCGTCCTGCCGCGTGCCCTGCAACAAGAAGGTCACGCTCAACGGCTGGACGGAGATCCACGTCGTTCTGGGAGGCTCCGTCGCGTGCGAGCTCCACGCGCGCCACGTGGGGAATTTGGACGAGGCGGCGGCGAAGGAGTTCGCGGCGCGGCTCCGGTCGAAGACGAAGCGGAGCCCGCGCGGGTCGTCGTCGAGCCGGCGCCTGGTGCACCACGGCCGCGGCGACGAGCGCGCGGTGCTCTCCGCGGGCGCGGGCGGCCTGTCGCTGCGCGCGCTCCACAGCGCCTGGCAGCACTGGCTCGACGACGAGTCGACGGTTGTGGCCCTGCGGCGGCTCGTGGCGCCGGACGACCGCTACCGCCACTACCTCGAGGAGGCGTTCGACGCCTGCGGAAGCGCGATGCTCGCGTACTTGGAGTCCGCGGCGGGCGTCGGCACGTCGGGCGTCGTCCTCCTCAGCTGGCAGGAGGCCGTGCGCTGCGACCACGTCGGCGGCGTGGCGTCGCAGGCGCTCAAGGCCGTCGCCGCGGGCTTCGACGCGCCCTTGCCGTACACGAAGACGCCGGCCAAGGAGGCCTTCTTCCGCTACGACGTGAACGACAGGGGCGAGCTCGACGTCGACACGGTCGTCGCCGCGCTCAAGTCCATCCCCGCCGTGCACCTCAAGTCCGCGGACCTGCGCGGCGACGTCGACCGGTTCTCCGACGAGGACACGCTCGACATCCTCCAGTTCCAGTCGCTCGTGGACTTCATCCTGGACCTGCCGCCGGCGCCCCACCTCGACCGCGACGCCTACGGCGCCCTGTCCGCCGGGTTCTGCGTCGGTTTGCTGCGGGCCATGGCGGCCGTGGAGCCCCTCGACGACGACGACGCGCCCGCGCCCGACACGCTCCCGACGACGGCGTCCTTCGGCGAGGACGACCCGCCGCTGCCGTGGCGCGACGGCTTCGGCCTCGAGCCCCTCATCCGCGTCGACGTCGCGCCCGCGTCCTAGTTAGAGCGGCGCGGTCCGCGGCTCCCCGGGGTCCGGCCGGAAGTTCAGCAGCTCCCGCTGCCGGTCGTTGGGCGCGAAGCCGCCGTCGGCGTAGACCATGCTCAGGCTCACGGACGGCGCGCCGCGCCGCGTCACGTCGCGGCGGATCGCGCCGTACCTACCGGGGTCGGAGTTCTTCGCGGCGCGGAATTCGCTCGACGCCGCGCCGTCACTCGTCCATCAGTTTGTCGATGGCGTTCCGTATCTCGTCGCCTCGCGACTCGCTCGCGCGGCCGAACTCGAAGGCGCGCACCGGATTTTGCGGGACCGTCGTGGGCGGGCCCGGCCGCCAGGTGTGCGGCCGGTCGCGCCGCAGGTCGACCATCTCGTGCGTCGCGCGCGCCGGCTCGGCGGCGGCTGCGACGGCGTCGTCGTCGCGGCTGGTACTCGTGCCGCAGAGGCTACAGCACGGCAGGAGCGCCGACCGCAGGCGGCGCATCTCGGCGCGGCCACAGCCCCAAGCCTCTCGATGGCGGGCTGCTCCTCGTCAACTAGTAGTTCAACATCGTTGACAACTCGATTCAAAGTTGGTGGAGACGAGCACCGACGGCGCTGCGCCGGCCATGGACGCTGAGACCATTACACCGGTCACGACCTCCACGGTGCAGGTCCCCATCGACGGCCTCCTCGAGTCCCGCACCACGCCGCCGTCGGTGCGGCGCGGCGAGGCCGTCAAGCTCGGCATCGACGAGGCGGGCCGCGGCCCCGTGCTCGGCGCCATGACCTTCGGCACGTGCTACTGGTCCATCGCCGACGACGACGCCATCGAGGCGTCGCAGAAGGAGATCGACGACTCGAAGCAGCTCACGGACGAGAAGCGCTCCAAGCTCTTCGACCGCATCGCCGCGGACGAGCGGATGGGTTGGGCCGTCGAGGTCGTGTCCGCGGCGCGCATCTCCGCGGAGATGCTCCAGGTCAAGCCGACGTCGCTCAACGCCATCTCCTTCGACGCGACGTGCCGCCTCATCCAGCGCGTCCTCGACCGCGGCGCGGACGTCGTCGAGGCGTCCGTCGCGGCGTCCCGCGGCCGCGACGATTTTCGAGAGATTTGGGGCGGGAAAACAATGAGACATCGTTACCGTCATGCTTGGTAGGTTCGTCGACACCGTGGGCAACCCCGACAGCTACTCGGAGCGGCTGACGCGCGCGTTCGACGGCAAGATCAAGTTCACCGTCGCCAAGAAGGCCGACGCGCTCTACAAGTGCACGGGCGCCGCGTCCATCTGCGCCAAGGTCTGCCGCGACCTGTCCATCGCGCGGTGGACGTACGACGAGCCCGGCGTCGACGACCTGGACTTCGGGTCGGGCTACCCGTCGGACCCGGCCTGCGTCGCCTGGCTCGCGCGCAACGTCCACGGCGTCTTCGGCTACCCGAACTTCTGCCGCTTCTCCTGGGCGCCCGCGAAGGCGCGGCTCCGCGACACGGACACCCAGCCCGACGACCTCAAGGCCCAGTTCGGCGCCGTCGTCAAGGTCGACTTCGACGCCAAGGACGAGGACGACGCCGCGGCCAACTCCATGAAGATCACGGACTGGGCGACCGTGTCCAAGAAGAAGCAAACGGGCCCGGCGAAGAAGAAGCGCAAGCGCGCGCACTTCTACCGTTCCCTCGAGTCCCTCACGGAGCTCGCGGAAGTCTGCTAAGATGGTACCAAGCGGATCGCCGCGAGCGCGGCCGCGGGGTCGGGGTCCTCGAGGGCGGCGACCGCGGCGGCGAGGAGCGCCTTCTGGCCGGCGCGGTAGACGAGCGCGTGGCGGTATCTCGGGGGCGGACGCTCCGCGAGCCGCGCGCGGTCCTCCTCGAGCGTCGTCGGCGCGCGAGCCAGCGACGTCCGCAGCAGGTCGCGGAACCGCGCGGCGCCGAGCGAGTCGAGCGCGCGCGCGTCCGCGTGCGGCGAATCGCAGACGACGCCGTCGCCGAGGTGGAGCGCCTCGTAACACGTCTGGCCCGGGCGGAGCAGCTCCGCGAAGCCGTAGTCCAAGAGCAGCTTCTCGTTGCCCTCGTAGCGGTAGCAGATCGTCACCTCGTCGCCCGAATTGAGGTCCCGGGGCGCGACCAGGGCGATCGCCTTCGCCGCGGCGTCGATGCCCACGGGCTCGACGTCGTCCGCGGTCGGCGTTTTATGGTTCGCGAGGTCGATCAGCGGCACCAACGCCATCGACGGCTGGTAGTTGAAGCCGCTGTCGAAGACGAGCGCCCTCGACCGCACGGAGCGCTCGGCCCTCCGCACGTCGGCCTCGGTGCCTTGCACGTAGGGAAGCACGCGCGCGACGCTCTCGTCGAGGAACGGGGTCATCCCCCGCGCGACCTCGGCGAGCCTCAACGACTGGAGCTCCAACAGCTCGGCGTCGGTCCAGTCGCAGAGCAGCGGCTCGTCGGCGGGCAGCGCGTCCGTGTACGCCGTCCGCTCGCCGCGGCTCAGCGACCCGACGAGGCGCGCCGTCGCGAGCTCGCGCAGCGAGAGGCCCCACTGCGGGTCCTCGTCGGCGGCGATGCAGCACGCCTCCGGGACGCGGAGCAGCAGCGCGCCCTTTGGCACGTCTTTCGTGGCGTAGAGGCCACGGACGCCGTCGCGCGTCTCCGATGCGACGTCGCCGACGAAGCCGCCCTCGGACTCGACCCAGCGCGCCAGCGCGTGCTCGCGCGAGCCGGGCGTGAAGGCGTCGGCGCCGAGCGCGGCTGCGAGGACGAGCGCTTTGCGACACAATGTCATGCTGCGAGGACGAGCGCTTTGCGCATTTGCGTTGCGCACATGCTCTGTCTGGCAAGTGCAAATTGGCATCAAGGGCTCTTCAACAACGGCCCGGAAGCCGAATACCATCCTTCCTGTTTACCCCGCCCCCCGGAAGAGCACGGCGCCCGGCGGCGCGTCGAGCACGGGCGCGCCGTGGATCGCGAAGGCGCGCGGCTCCGCGACGCGGGAGAGCTGGAAGCCGTGGTTGAAGAGGCACGTGGAGACGCGCTGGTCCGCGTTGCCGCAGACGAGCTTGTCGGCGCAGGCCTGCCACTCGTGGCGCGTGATCTCGGCGAGCAGGCCCCGGGACACGTAGTAGCCGATGCCGCCGTAGGCCCAGCTCGCGAGGTTGTGGTAGTGCACGCGCCCCCGCGTCGGGTGGTAGCGGTAGGGGAAGGGGCTGTCGTCGTGGCGCTGGCGCACGGGGCAGCAGGGCTTGCGCTTGCCGCGGCGCCGGCAGGGCGTCACGACGACCGTGCCGTCGCCGGGCCCGCCGCCGACGCCCGGCCCGATCGTCCGCGTGTCGGACCGGTTCAGCTCGAAGGAGAAGTAGGGCTTGCTCGGCGGCACGTCGACGCGGCAGGGCTGGGAATCGTCGACGCAGCAGGCGAAGGGGTCCGCGGCGCGCAGCGGGCCCGCGGCGGGCTTGCACGGGTAGTGGCGGTGGCCCGGCATGCCGACGAAGAGGGGCAGCGCCGCGTCGCGCGCGCCGAGGTAGGCGCCCAGCCGCGACAACTCGAAGCGCGTGTCGTCGTCGCCGTGGGCGAGCCAGTCGAAGGCGCCGCCCCAGGTGTCGTTGGCGAACATGAGCGCCAGCAGCGGCCGGTGCGCGCCGAGGTACTTGCCGCCCGTCGTCGTGAAGTCGACGCCCTGCTTGCCGTCGTCGTCGGGGAAGCCCAGGAAGCCGGCGCCGACGTCGAGGCGGTCCGATGCGAAGAGGTGGCGCGTCCGCTTCAAGTGCGCGTGCCGCCAGCGTTGCAGCGCCGCCGCGCGCCGCGCGTCGGAGAAGCAGTGGAGCACGACGACGACGGCCGCGTGCTCGCGGCGCTCCTCGAAGGGCTCGCCGAAGAGCGCGGGCCAGGCGTTGACGAGCGCCTCGGGCGACCGCGGCAGCTGGAGCCGCTTGCCGTAGCGCGCGCCGAGCTTCTCGTAGACGTAGGCCGCCTCGGTCTCGATGCGGTGCACCTCGCCGTAGACGCCGCGCTCCTCGAGCAGCACGTCGAGGCGCTCGTCGAAGGCCACGGGCAGCGGCGCCGACCGGAAGTCGTCGGACGCCGCCGGCGCGGCGCACGACAGCGCGACGAGCATCCATCGCGCCACCATCGTCGCGCCCACAATTGCAATTGGGCTTCACTTGAAGCCAAGTACCGGTGCAAGGACAGGGCTCTTTACGTTTTTGGGGAGGGAAGGAGGCGCCTAGGCGGCCTTCTTCTCGGGCTTGTCGCCGAACGAGCCCGAGAAGGAGCGGCGCCGGCCGCTCTTGCTCTTGGCGCCGAGCGCGCCCGCCGACGCGGAGTTGGCGAGGTCGCCGCGGCCGACGGACGACTTGCGCCGGTTGTCCTTCTGGAAGGCCTCCGGGTTCGCCGCGCGCGCGCGCGCCTTGTTGATGACCTCGATGACGGGCTTGTGGTCCCCCGCCTGGGCCCAGGCCACGGCCGTCTTCGCCTGCTCGTCCTTGGCGTCGAGCTGCGTCACGCCCATGAGGTCCGGGTCGTTGCAGAGGAACTCGACGCAGCGGAGGTGGTCGTTCTTCGCCGCGAGGATGAGGGGGCTCGCCGTGCCCGGCCGGCTCGCGTTCGGCGGGCAGCCCTCCTTGACCAGCCGCCGCAGGTACGCGTCGCGGCCGAACGCGGCCGCGTACGACGCCGCGGTCCAGCCCGTCGCCTCGAGCGTCGCGGCGACGTCCGCCTTTTTCATGTCCGGCTTCGCCGCGGGGCCGCAGCCGAAGAGGCAGTCCACGAGCTTCGCGTGCTTGACCACGCTCAGCGCCTTGGGCGCCATCATGAGCGGCGTGAGGCCGTCCGTGTCGTCCGCGAGGTCGTGCGTCGCGCCCGCCGCGATGAGCTCGTAGGCGATCTTCGCGTGGCCGTTCTCCAGCGCCACGAGGAGCACGGTCCGGCCCGCGCCGTGCTTGGGCTCCTCGTCCAGGGACGGGTCGCGCGGCGACGCCATCAAACTCGTCGGCTCCGGGGCCGCGAACGTGCCGTCGCAGTCGCGCTGCCTCGTGTCCGGCGGCGCGCCCTTCGCGAGCGCCTTCTTCACCACGTCGAGGTCGCCCGTCTCGCAGGCCAACATCAACTCCGTGCGCGCGAGGGCGAGCGCGGCCTCGAGGGCGCCCTCGCCCGCCTCCTTCAAGATCCTTGTCACCGCGTCCGACGTCTGCTGGCCGACCAACACGCGGACCGTCGACTCCGCGAGCATCGCGATGTCCTTGATCGTCGTCGCGCCGCGGTGCAGCGCCGCCAGCGCCGCGGAGATGGCGACCTGCTTGACCTTGTCGGCCTTGCGCCGCTCCTCGAACAAATCCGCCAGCGCGGCCACCGCGTTCAGCGGCGCGCCGGCCTCGGTCTGGCGGCCCTTGGCCATCTCCATGAGCCGCGTGAACTCGTTGAACTCGATCTCGCCCGACTTGTCCGTGTCCAGGAACTGGATCAGCGACGCGATCTCCTTCTTCGTGGCGGACAGGCCGACGTCCTTGAAGAGCGCCTCGACCTCCCCCTCGTCGATGGCGCCTGGGCAGGACAAGAGTGCGAAATTCCCAACTTCAAAGGCTCATCTCTCGGCCGTTTTCCACTCGTTTCGGCTGACTTTTGGACGAGCGATCATCTCTCGGAACGGTCTCGAAGCGTGGATGCTTTTTCCAGAACGCGCGCGCGCGGAACACTCACGTTGAAGCTATGTTGAATCACCCTTGTCCTGCCCTGGATGGCGCCCGAGCCGTCGGCGTCGATCTTGTCGAACGCGGCCTTCGCGTCGGACGCCTCGCTGTCGTCGAGGGGCAGCACCTTGGCGCCGATCTCGCCTAAACGCAGCTCGTCGCTCGCCCGCAGCGTCGCGAACATCTCGACGAACTCGTCGAACTCGATCTTCCCGGACTTGTCCGCGTCGAACGCGGCCGTCGCCTCGTCGAGGAGCGTCCGGTCGTACTTGATGCCGAGCTTGTGGAGGCAGGCGCCGAGGCGCCGCGTGTCCATGGACCCGGAGCCCTGGTCGAACATGGAGAAGACGGCCTGGAGGCCCGGCTTGCTCCGCGACGTCACGGGCGCGGGCGCGGACTTCGGCCGTTTGGACACCTCGTCGCCCGCCTTCCAGCCCAACGGCTTCTCCGGGTCCTGCTCCAGGACCTTGGCGTCGAGGCCCGCGTGGAGCAGCTGCGTCGAGATCTCGCCCTTGCTGAACTTGCCCTCCTTGAGCCACGTGAAGTACTTGCCGTAGTCGCGGTGCTCCTTGAGCGGGATGGGCTTGGGCTGGGACTCGAGGCGCTTGATGCGCGCCGCGCGCTGCTCGAGCAGCAGGCTGAGGCCGGGCATGGCGCCACTGCTCCGACGACGCGGCGCACACCAGGAGGGGCGGTGCGCGGCTGCCCGGCGCGAATCGCGCGAGCTATAGCGCAGCGCTGAGAGATCAAGGATTCCACCTGGGTGATGATGCACGGGTTAACGTTAGCGCGCTCTCAAAGTTTGCCCTTTCGAACGCGATGCGATGGCTCGTCGCAGTGTTATCATTGCGCGCGTCGGCGATGGACCGCGACGACGCCGCGGCGGCCATGGCGCGGGCCCGGGCGCACAGCAAGGCGGCGCGCGAGGCGCAGGGCGGCGCGGCGTCGAGCGCGGGCACGCACGCCCACGACTCCGAGCATCGGCGCCACTACCGCCACGGCGAGGAGCACACGAGGCGCAAGCAGCGGCCCTGCGCGACGGACGACTGCATGGAGGCGGCGCTGGCGAAGGTGCTCACGTGCTACGCGCCCTACGCGTCGCGCGTGTCGCGCGGCCCCGCGCACCGGGAAGTCGTCACGGACGACGCCGTCGCGGTCTACGGCGCGCTCGGCGACGCGGACGTCGCGAACCTGGGCGCGCTCGCGGCCTGCGTCGAGCGCCACGGGCCGGACCGCAAGCCCGAGGAGCGGCCCTTCCACGACCAGAGCGGCGCGAACCTCTGCGCGAACCTGAACTGGTACTTCCAACGCGCTGCCCCAGAGCTCGCGGACCGCGTCTACGCCGTCGCCGCGGCGGCGGCGGCGGGCGCGGGGCCGGCCTTCGCGGCGGACCCGCGGGACTTGGAGCTGCGCGTCGTCGAGAAGGTCACCTACCGCCGCGCGGGGCGCCTCGACTTCCACCGCGACGCGCACTCGACCTACACGCTCGTGCTCATGCTCAGCGACCCGGGGAGCGACTTCGACGGCGGCCACTTCGTCGCGCGCCACGGCCACGACGCCTACGAGGTCGACCTCGCCCACTTTGGGGGCGTGCTGATCCGCTCGGACGTGCCCCACGGCATCGGCATGGTCACGCGCGGCAAGCGGGAGGTCCTCGCCGTCGAGTTCTGGGCCCACCAGGCCGCGAACGCCACGGAGCACCGGCCCGAGCCCCGGAGGCCCGACGACCGCAGCGAACTCTAACCTAGCACGCGGCGACGGAGACGAGGCCCGGCGACCGCGGCGAACTCTAACCTAGCACGCGGCGACGGAGACGAGCCCAAACTTCGGCGCGCCGGCCGCGAGGCGGATCGTCAGCGGCAGATGCCGCGTCCCGGCGCGCACGCCGAAGCCCTTGGCGCCCGCGTCGCCGAGGGGCCGCCCCATCCTCTTCGCCTCGGCGACGGACGTCGACGTCGTCTGGTCCAGCGACTTGGGCAGCGCGACGTTGAAGAATTCGGAGTGCGTCTGCGTCGTCCGCGAGTCCGTCCGCAGGCCCTCGAGGTCGTAGTGGGCGCCGTTGAGCGACAGCGTCGCTGTTCCGACGTTCTCGTAGGACCGCACGTAGGACACGCTCAGCGCCGGCGACTCCGCGAGGAAGTCCAGCGCGAACGCGACGTGCGCGCCCGCGCCGCGCAGCACGTAGGCCGGCTTGCCCGGCCGGTCCTCCGCGACGACGCAGCCCGCCGCGGCCGCGACGCCCGGCGCGCGGTCGCAGGGGCCGCGGTAGGCGCCGAAGGCCGAGTGGTAGGTCCCGTTGCCGCACGTCGCGAACTTGGCGAGGTCCGCGGGCTTGTGGTACGGTCCCGGCGCCGCGGCGCGGCGCGGCGCGGCCTCGCGCGCGGCCGTCGCGAGCGCCCAGACGACGACCTCGGCGAAGAGCTGGTGGAACTCCCACCTACCAAGCATGATGGTTTCCCAGCCGAAATCTCTCGAACATCGTCACGCCGACGCCCGCGTCGGGTGCGCCGATTCGGCGGTCATGCGGCAGCGGTGCTGCTTGCAGGCCGGCCACCAGTTGCCGGGCACGCGCGTCAGATCGACGGCCGGTAACGCATAATGGGCATAGACCTTGCCGTACGTCGACGCCGTCGTTTCGCACGCGGGGCAGGGCATGACGAGCGGCACGACGGCGACGCGCGGCGCGGCGGCGAGGATCTCCTGGACGAGCCGCTCCGCGACGAGGCCCGTGCCCTTGAGCCGCGCGTAGCCGTGGTGGTCCTCGTGGTACTTGCCGTACTCGAAGGAGTCGTTGACGCTGAAGTCGACGAAGAGGAGCACGCGCTCGCCTTCCGTCGACGCCGCGTCCGCGAGCGCCTGGCGCACGACGTGCGCCGCCGCGGGCAGGAACCCCGTCGACGTCGTGCCCGCGCGCGCGACGTTGCGGTAGGTCGCCGTGCCGTTCGCGGCTTCGGAGATCCAGTCGAAGACGCGCCGCGACCAGCAGCACGCCTGCAAAGCGCGCTCGCCCTCCGTGCACATGACCCCGGCCGTCACCGATCCGCCGACGGCGACGACCGTGACCGGCGCGCCGGCTTCCAGCTGGCGCATGAACGCCTGCAGCCTCGCGTCGCCGCCGGAGAAGGCTGCCCGCAGCCCGCGCAGCGTCACCTTGGGCAGCCACGGCTTCTCGTCCTCGACGTGGCGCAGCGGCGGAAAGCCGCGCAGCACGGTCCAGGGGTCGACGGCCCGGGCCAGCGCCGCGACGACGAGTATGATGCGGAGTGTCATGGATGCCTGGAGAAGGCAGCCATCGTGCAGACGAGGTGCACCCAAACTGCACCTTCGCCGCCATCGCCGCCGCCGCTGCCGCCGTCGACGCCGCCGACCCCGCCGAGCTGCAAAGAGATGGCCTCCATGGCCAACAGGAACACGGACTTCGAGCGCTGCGACGACCGGCCCATGCAGGACGGCGGCGCCGACAGCGACGACGAGTTCCTCGACGACCCGCTGGCCGTCGCGAGCCAGCACCGGCCGTCCATGCCGCAGGTCGACAAGCCGGCGCACGTCTCCCAGGAGACGCACGACCTCGTGCGCGCGACCATGGCCGGCGGCGAGGCCTACCGCGCGACGCGCGAGGCCGAGGTCGAGGCGCTGCGCGCGCGGCGCCTCGCGGAACTCAAGGGCGCCGCGCCGCTCGTGACGACCGTCGTCGACCCGGCGAAGATGCTCGACGCCATCCGCCGCGCCGACGCGGCGACGCCCGTCGTCATCCACGTGTCCTCGTCGGCCGTGCCCGCGTGCGCGAAGGTCGACCGCGCTTTGGGGCTCCTCGCCGCGCGGCAGGCGGCGCACCCGTCGGACTGCCGCTTCGTGGGCGCGGCGGCGCCCGTGCTGCTGCGCCTCGACGCCGAGGCGACGTGCCTCGCCCACGAGGCCTTTGGCATGGAGATCAACGAGGCCGAGCTGCCCGCGCTCCTCGTCTACCGCGACCGGGAGCTCGTCCACCACGCGCTCGCCGTGCGCTTCGACGACGCGGACGACGTCGAGGACTTCATCGAGGCGGGGCTGTCCTAAGGGTTCGATTAAGCACGGGGCGTCGCCGCTGCGGGGTCGGCTGCGGGTGTGATTCGCGGGTATCAGTCGAGAACGGGCGCCGCGGCGCGAAAAACTTTCTGCGAAAGCTCGCGGCGCGGCGCGCGAGGTCGATCGGGGGCGCTTGCAGATCAGAGGGTATCCTGGCTCCTCTGGCTTGAGGTCGATCAGGGGCGCCGGAGCTTGAGGTGGAGGATCGTGAGGCAGACGACGACGTTGATGAGCGCGAGGTCGCGGGCCGCGAGGAGCAGCGAGGCCGACAGCAGCGCGTCCAACGCGCCGTCGCCCGCGACGAGCGCGCGGAGGCCGCCGACGATCGCGCGGAGCCGGCCGACGCGCGACAGCAGCACGACCTGCACGACCTTGGCGAGTGGCATGGATGTCATTTCCTTCAGAAACCGGTCGCCGTCGTCGCTCGCCGCGTCCGGGTCATCGACGGCCTCGTAGCTCCGCGCGGACCGGGAGAAGCTCGGCGACGACGCCGCGCGGAGGAGCGCGCGCCGCGGCGAGAGGTCCGGCGACTTGGACGCCATGTCGGCGAGGCTCGAGTTCGACTCCGAGCGGACGAGCGCGACGAGCTTCATGTCGGCGACGCTCCGGAAGCCGAAGCGGTCCGACACGCCCGCGACGAGGCTCATGTCCGGGCTCCGGCGGTCGGACCGGCCCGTCGCGCGCTCGACGAGGTCGGGGCACGAGTTCCTCCTCGCCACGTTCGCCGCGACCTCGTCGCGGAGCGTGCCCTTGTCGCGGAGGGCCGTGGCGTTGAGGAGCCACTCGGCGTCGGGTCCGGCCGCGAGGCCGACGGGGGGCGACGGCGTCGCCGTCGCGGGAGGCTCGGGCGCCGCGCCGAGGCGCGAGAAGTAGTCGCGGAGGATCTCGGGCGACGGCGGCGACCCCGCGGCGGCGAGCCCCGGGGCCGTCGATTCGCGGAGGATCTCGGGCGACGGCGTCACCGCGCGCAAGCCCTCGGCCATCGACTCGCCCACGAGGTCGCCGATGGTGAAGTCGTCCTCCGTGATCGATATCGGCGACGCCTGCCGCGCGATGCGCTCATCGCCGTCCACCTTCTCCTCCGGCAGCGACGGCTTTAAGAGACTGGGAGCGACGCGCCGCGCCTTCGGTTTGCTCAAATCTCGCGTGATCAGGTTCAACACCATCTTGTCGACACACACACCCGACACACAACAGTATCGACGACACACACACACAGGCGGATCTTAATTAAGCTGTCATCATGCGAATCTTTGTCTCAAAAGGTCTTCGAGCATTGCGATAATTCCACACAATGCCTTCACCAAACCCAAAGCTGCCCCAACCTTGCAGCCCATCACGATGGCCGGCTTCCAGCCCAGCGTCAAGATCCCCGATGCGCCGCCGCCGGGCAAGCCCGGCGGGTCCTTCACGGAGGACGGGCGCATGAAGGCGCTCGTGCCGCACCTGCGCCGCTACGACAACGACTATAGCAAGTGGGACGGCCTCGACGCGTCCGACGACGACGCGCCGCCGTCGAAGCCGCGCCGCGAGGAGAAGCCGGACGCGGAGCAGACGGCCTCGAGCCTCTTCGAGCTCGGCTACGACCACTACGTCGGCCGCCGCGGCCAGGCCAAGGACGCCGCGGCCGCCGCGAAGGTCTGGGCCGCGGCCGCCGCGCGCGGCAGCCAGCGCGCGCAGTGCAGCCTCGCGCAGCTCTACTACGAGGGCGAGGGCGTGACGCGGAGCGACGCCCGGGCGCTCGAGCTCTACGGCGCGGCGGCGGCGAGCGGCGACGCGCGCGCGAAGCACAGCCTCGCGGTCTACCGCTTCGAAGGGACGGCGTGCGCGCGCGACGTGCCCGGGGCCGTCGCGCTCTGGACCGAGGCGGCGCGGGCGGGCGTCGTGCCATCCATGCGCATGCTCGCCTTCGTCTACCTCGAGGGCCGCGGCGTGCCGAAGAACGAGCGGCTGGCGTTCGCCTACACGAAGAACGCGGCCAAGTCGGGCGACCCGGCCGCGCGGCGCAACCTCGCGAAGATGTACAACGAGGGCGTCGGCTGCGCGCAGAACAGGGAGCTGGCCATGCACCTCGTCGGCGACCTCGCGGAGAAGTACGACAAGAGCTGCCTCGACGTCACGTCCCAGTGGTTCGACACCTACGTCGAGGCGAGCGCGCAGCGCGAGGGCGAGGCCCGCAAGGCATCGGAGGAGGCCGAGCGGAAGCGCCGGGGCCAGGGCGTCCCCGAGTGGGGCGGCGTCAAGGGCCACCGGGAAGACGGCGCCGGCGCCCCCGAGTCGAAGCACGGCGGCGAGTAAAACTTCAATACGAAAGGCTCGATGCATGTTGCACTCCATGCCGCGAGCTTTCCCGTCGACTATTATTTGCGGTGTCCGCGCGCCTCTCTGCTGCATAAAACCCGCCCACTACACGCGACAAAGTCGTGAAAAGTCGCGCACCATGCCGCAACCCCAGCGCGGCTCCTACCTCGAGATGCGGGAGGAGCGCAAGTCCGAGGACGGCGCGCGGTCGCCGCCGACGAACCCGGCCTGGTCCGCGCCGCCGCCGCCGCCGCCGCCCGCGGCCTGGGGCCGGTCCGTCGCGCGCGCGCGCGGCGCGACGGTCGACGGCGACGACGCGAAGGTCGACGTCGTCTTCCGGAAGCGCAAGCTCGGCCTCGACCTGCGCTTCGACCACTCCCGCGGCAAGGCCGTGCTCGCCGAGGCGCCGGACCACCGCGCGCAGCTCCGCGCCGGCGACGCGCTCCTCGCGCTCGACGGCGAGGCCGTCGTCATCGACTCCGAGGAGGCGTTCCAGGCGCTCTTCTTCCGCCTCGCGGACGGCCCGCGGCCCCTGCGGCTCACGTTCACGAGACGGGCCCCCCAGCGGTCGCGGGTCGCCTCCGTCGCGGGCGTCGACTACGAGGCGCCCGCGTTCTACGAGCTGGACGTCGCCGGCGGGCGGTTGCAGGGCAAGGACGGCAAGGACGCGTGCGTCGCATTCCGCGGCGGGCAGGTCGTCGTCCGCGGCGCGCTGAGCCGCGAGCGGCGGCGGTCCGTGCTCGCCGTGCGCAGCGCCGAGGGGCTGCCGGGCTGCGAGGCCGGCGACTCGTTCCTCGGCCTCGACGGCGCGCTCGCGCTCCCGCGCGCGGACGCGCGCGACGTCTGGGGCGCGCTCGACGCCGCGCTCGCCGGTTCTCAGGCGTCCAAGGCGGCCTTCTGCCGCGGGTCCGCGGGCGACGCGCTCTACACCGTCAAGCTCCCGGCCGCGGAGATCGAGGACGACGACGACTGGGACGACCACCCGGGCCGCCGCCGGTCGTCGTTCTCCGCGCTGCGGCGGTCGTCGTTCCTGAGCCGCGACCTGCCGGACTCGGCGACGGAGGCCTGGGGCGTGTCCGTCGCCGCCGACGGCGGGTTCCTGCGCGTGACGACGCTGGACGAGGGGGGGCTGGCGAAGGCGGCCGCGGTGCGTCTCGGAGACGTCGTCGTCGCGCTGAACGGCAACTCCGTGATCGGACTGGGCATCTTGGACTTCGCCGACGTCGCCGACGGCGCCGTGCGGAGCGCTTTGAAGGTCGGCCGGGCCTTCGTGTCGGCGACGTTCGCGAACGACCGCGTCGTGCCCGCGGCGCTTCTGGGCGTCGCGCCGCCGTCGTTCGCGCCCGCGGTGCCCGCGCCGCCGCCGCGGTCCCGCGGCGCGCCGCCCGTCGCCCCGCCCATCGCCGTCGACGACGGCCTGCCCGCGGCCGCGCAAAAACCGCCGAAGCGCGTGTCCACGGGCAGCCGCCGCGTGTCGAGCGGCCGCTTCGACCAGGACCGCGCGTCCTGGAGCGGCCTCAGCGCGTCCGAGAAGCGCCGCCTGGCCCAGCTCCGGCGCCTGCTGCGCGCGGGCGTCGGCGCCGAGTGGCACCAGACCGTGGGCGACGGCGCGTGCCGGCGCCGGCCCGTGCTGCTCCGCGAGTTCGGCGACTTCGAGGGCTTCGCCGTCGAGCCGCTCCGGTCCAAGCCCATCGTCGTCCTCTTCGACGCGTTGGCGTCCGTGGAGATGCCCTTCAACTCGCGCTACGGCGTCGACGACGCCACGCTCGCCGCGTCGTTCACCGTGACCTTTGGCCACGCGGACGACGACCGGTCCGTGACGTGCGACTTCTCGACGGGGTCCGCGGCCGTCGCCTACATGCTCGCCGACGGCGTCGAGCTCGCGCGGCGCATCGCCCTCACGAGCCCGCCCGTGGACCGCACGGGCGGCGCGCGCCAGCGGTCCGCGGTGTCGCTGTCCGTCGACGAGGGCCGGTCGTCGCTCCCCGCGCGCGAGTCCGCGTCGGGCGCCGCGGCGGCCCTGAGCGCCGTGGGCCGCAGCGCGCCCTTCTTCCTCATGGACGGCGACGCGCCCCAGCGGCGCTGGTGGCAGAACCTGCGCAAGGGCGTCGTCGTCGAGGTCTACTACGCGGAGGACACGTACGCCGTGAAGACGCCCGTCGGCGACGTCGACGTCGCCGAGACGGCCTTCAGCGAGGGCACCTACTGCCGCTGCGTCGTCGTGCGGCGCATGCGCGCGGGCCGCGCCGAGGGCAAGCACTGGTACGTGCTCAAGTACAAGGACGGGCCCTACGACTGCGACGCGCCGCGCGGCGCGAAGAGGCGGGGCCTGCCCAAGGGCACGCGCTTCGTCGGCGTGCCCCGCGACTGCATGGTGCTGACCTACGAGAACCAGAAGTTGTATCTCCCGTGGATGCTCGCTTTGATCACGCTGGCGCAGATCCTGTTCTTCGTGCAGTTCGCAGACCAGCGCTACGGGAGCGTGCGCGAGGTCGGGCCGTCGGGCCCGACGGTGGGGCCGTCGACGCTCTGGTTCCGGCTCACGGGGCCCTTCCCGGAGTGCTTCGACGCGCGCTTCCAGTACTGGCGCCTCTTCACGTACCAGATCGTGCACCAGGGCTACTACCATCTGGCGTGCAACTGCATCATGCAGTGCGTCTTCGGCGCGTCCGTGGAGATGGTCCACGGCCACCGCATGATTCTGTTGGTGTACCAGTTCGGCGTCGCGTTGGGCGCGCTGACCTGCGCCTTCACGGACATCCACCGCGCGGTCGTGGGCGCGTCGGGGGGCGTCTACACGCTCATCGGGCTCCACTTCGCGGACGTGCTGTTGAACTTCCGCGCGATGAACGACCACGCGCGGCGGGCGACGCGGGCGCTCCTGTGCACGGCCGTGCCGGCCCTCGACATCTTCATCTACGTGTTTTTGTACGCGGACGACACGACGTCGTACTCGGCGCACGCGGGCGGCGGCGCGGCGGGGTTCCTGCTGGGCCTGGCGCTGCTGGACCCCGTCGCGGAGATGAAGCTCCACACCTACGGCGTGCGGCCGCTGGCGGCGCTGGCGCTGCTGGCCTACTTCCTCTTCGCCTTCGGCTGGCAGCAGTCCAAGTACCCGCCGGAGTACCTCTACAACGGCCGGCCCTGGCGCCGGAGCTCCTGGGGCAAGGAGGACTTGAGCGCGTCCTGCTGCTGGCAGCTCCAGGACTGCGCCGACATCGACGAGCGCGACTACGACTACTTCAACTGCGACGACGACGAGGACCTCACGATCACGATCGCGTCCGACGACCTCGCGCTCGACGTCGTCCTCCAGACGTGCGACGCGCTCAAGGACGCCCTCGCGACGGCCCTGAGCCTCGAGCACCTCATCCCCGACGACGACCTGCGGCGCTAGGAGGGGTTGGTTTAAGGCTCGTCACACAAACGCGCCTCAGAGGCCGATGAACGAGGACCAGCCCCGCTTGATCTCGGGCCTCTGTTTCGGGGGCGGCTCGTCGCGAGGCGAGGACCAGGTGCGCCGTTCGGGGGGCGTGTCCCGCGGCGGCGCGCGTGACGTCGTCGGCGCCGTGCGTGACTCGGGCGGGAGGGAGTAGCGGAGCGACGCGTACGTGTCCGCTCGATCGCCGAGGTCCCGGCCCCGCGGCGTGTCGCTCGCGACTTCGCCGCGGCTGCCCTTGCCCTCGCTGATCGTGCTCAGCATGGACAGGCGCGACAGCATCGACTTCTGGGGACCCCCGTGGGGCCTCTGTCCCGGTCGCCCGCCGCCCATCTGCATCAATCCTTCCTCGAAGCGCTCGCGGTCCCCCGGAGGGGTTCTCGCCGGTCGCTCGTCGTCCTCGGGTTTCGAACGACCGCAACCCATGATACCTTCGGGGGGGCGAAGCGGCTTGCGGTCGCGGCTCGAGACGCGCCGCTCCGAGTCCTTTGGCGGTGGAGAGAATCGATTCGCCACAGGCACAGCCGTTCGCGGCACGAGACGAGCGCTCGGATATCGGAGGTTTTGTCCACAAGCGAGAGAATCGAAGTGATGGACAATGACTCACCCACCAAAGGTGCCGCGCCTTTGCACAGACAGTCGTGGTGACGAGGGATTGACGAGGGGCTGCCTGCGACCATGGACTACGCGTCGGCCGTGGACCGCGCCGCGCCGCGCGGGCCGGCCCGGCCGCACAAGCGGTCCGAGAGCCTGCCCTGCCTCTTCGCCTGCGAGGCCGTCGACGACGACGGCTGCGAGGACGTGAGCTTCCGCCTCGTCGCGGCGCCCGGCGCCGGGCGCCGCTGGGCCGGCGTGAAGCTCCAGCGCAGCGGCGAGGCGCTGGCGACGCTCGCCGCGGGCCTGGGCGCCTGGAGCGGCAGCGCGGACCTCGCCGAGGCGGCGAAGCGCTTCGTCGCGAGAGTCGCCGGCCGCGAGGACAGCGAGCGGGGGCGCGCCGCGCTCGCGCGCCCCTGCGACGTCTTCCTCGAGGCCTGCGGCGCCTCGCTCAAGTTCGCGGAGTGGGCCGAGGCGGCGACGGTCGTCGACGGCTACGCCGAGGGCCGGGGCGGCTCGCGGCGCTGGGATCTGGCCGACTCCGTCGTCGACCGGGGCAGGAAAAGAGAGCGAAATTCCCAACTTCAAAGGCGCCTATCTCGGCCGGTTTCCACTCGTTTCGGCTGGTTTTGGACGAGCGATCGTCTCTCGGAACGGTCTCGAAGCATGAATGCTTTTTCCGGAACGCGCGCGCGCGGAACACTCACGTTGAAGCGACGTTGAATCACTCTTTTCCTGCCCAGGTCGTCGACGCGCAGCTCGTCGCCGCGGCGCTGACGCGCGGCGAGGCCTGCGTCGTCGTCACGGGCGGTCTGGACGACGGACGCGAGACGACGGTGTTGCGCATCGCCTGCGTCACGCACGACGCCGAGCTCTTCGACATCCCGTTCCACATGACTCGAGCGCGGGCCCTCCACGCGGCCGGCGCGAACGCTGCGCCGCGCGCGCCGGCGGCGCTCGTCCTCGACGACGACGACGGCCGCCCGGGGTCGCCGCGGCGCCGGCAAACGCCCCGCCTCGACGACGACGACGAGCAGACCTTCGCGCCGCTGGCGCACGTCTCCGCGCATCTGGGCGCGGGCTTGGACGACGACGACCTCGAACGGCGCTGCGCGTGCACGCGGGCCTTCGCGGAGCGGGCCTTCGGCGCCTACGACGACCTCGACGGCGCGACGAAGGCGAAGCTGGCGCTGTGGGTCGCGGGCGTGCGGAAGCCCGGGACGGGCGCCGACGCGGTCGTCGACGCGTCGAAGAGCTTGAGGACGTGGTCCGACTGGCTCTACGAACTCGCCGATCCTCGCTCTAAACCCACCCTCCCCCCGCCCAAGCCCCGCGACGTGGAGCTGTCCCAGGCCGACGACAAGATGCTGCTGTTCGAGGAGCCCAAGGAGCTCGTCATCGTCGACGTGCGCGGCGTCGACGGCGCGCTGCCCGCGACCGCCCGTGTGGAAATCTTCAACTCGACTTCAATGTGAGCGTACGCGACAGTTTCGACGCAACCTTTTCGGCTTTGCTTCGAGAACTCGACGAGAGCCATCGATGCGTCCAAATATCAGCCGAATCGACTTCGATGTGACCGAGCTCGAGAAGTTTGGTCGGGACGTCCCAAACCAGCGGTTGCATTCGGCACAGGCCACCGCGCCGCACGACGCGTACGGCGTCGCTCGGCTGGTCACGCCGCAGCCCCTCAACGCCGTCGACGCGGCGGAGCCGCCGGTCTACACGTGGCGCCTGGCGGAAGGGGCGACGCGCTGCGTCTTCCACGTGAGAGCGGAGGACCTCGCGCGGACGAAGCTGGTCGTCTCGGTCCACGACGTCGGGCGCACGGCGCCCGGCGCGGACGACTGCGACGTCGTCGCCGCGTCGATGTTGCCGCTGGACGTCGTCGACGACGAGGGCGACGACGTCTTCGGCGCGGCGCTCAAACTCGTCGACGACGACAACTTGGGGGTGGGCGCGCGGGTGCTGGTGACGCTCCGGTTCGTGGGGGCGCGGCGCGCCCTGGCCCTCGGCGTCGCGAAGAAGGACCGCTTCTTCGTCTACCACTGCCGGCGGAGCCGGGGCGCCGCGGACGCGGCGTCGTGCAACTCGCTCACGGGTCTGGACTATTTCTGCGGCGCGCCGAACCTGGAGAACTGCGGCGACGGGACGCTGCCGTCGCTCGCGTCCTGCGTGACGCCGCCGCCGCCGCCCGAGGGGTCGGGCAGCCCGGCGGGCGGCTGGCAGCTGTTGGGCTACGCGCGCGTGCCCGACGACGGCGACGCCTACGCCGCCGCGGCCGACGACGCGACGTTCAGCCCGGGCATCGAGTCCGTCGGCGACGACGAGCGCGTCGTCGCGGAGCTCCAGCGCGCGCGGGGCGGGGGCGACGGCCGCTGCGACGCCGACGGCTGGCAGGTCGCCGAGGGTCTGGACGGGCCCTGGGTCGCGGCGCTGCCGCGCGGCAGGGCGCCCTACCGCCGGCGCCTCGTCTACCGCGTCGTCTCCATCCTCCGCAAGCCCCGGTACGGCAATGCGGCGCCGCGGTAGGTTTATCACTCCTCGAATCACTCCTCGATGTTGAGCGGGGGCCGCACGAGTAGGTAGGCCGCGAGGCCGTAGAAGGGCACGAGGCTCAGCGCGCGGTAGGCGACGCCGTCCTCGACGCCGCGCCGCTTTAGGTCGTCGGGCACGAGCCACGACTGGAAGACCGCGTAGAGCGCGAGGTCGACGACGAAGGAGCTGCCGAGGCGGTCGCCGCCGAGGAGCGCCGCGAGCGAGTCGGTCCGCGCCGCGAGGTCGCCGAACTCGGGCCGCGCGAAGCACGCCCACGCGACGGACCACGTGCCCACGGCCGCGAGCACCGCGGGCACCGCCTTGCTCTCCGCGGCGCGCTCGAAGGGCCCGAGCTGGTCCGCCGTCACGACGCCGTCGTCCGGGGACCGCGTCGCCAGGTAGGGCAGATAGAAGGCGTTCGTCAGGAACTGCATGCCCGCGACCGTCGGTAAGATGGGATCCCGGGGCTTCCGCCCGTCCGCCGCGAAGCCGACGAAGAGCGCGGACCAGGCGAGGACGACGTTGAAGATGCCTTCGAGGCCCGGGTGGACCACGGGGAAGCCGGGGAACAGCGCCGGCCCGATCTCCCAGAAGTTGAGCGACAGGTCCAGGACCTCCTTCCACGTCGCGCCGTCGAGCTGGAGCGCCGACGGCCCGGGCAGGAGCTGGCCCTCGGCGAGGAAGAGCTGCTGGCAATAGAGGAGGAAGCAGGCCAGCGGGAGGGCCCGCGCGGGCTCGGCGATGAGCTTCGACGCGACGCTCAGCAGCGTCAAGCCCGCGCCGCCGGGCTTCAGCGGCGCGGGCTCCGGGACGTCGAACCCGGAGACGAGCAGCCCCGACGCGTCGGCCTTGTAGACGCTGCAGCCCCGCGTGAACGGCAGGGCCTCGCCGCCGTTCTCCACGTGCCACTGCACGCCGACGGTGTCGCCGCCGTCCGAGAGCTCGTCGACGACGAACGCGAAGGACCGCGGCAGCTTGTCCGCGACCTTGAAGAGGTGCGCCTCGAGGGCCGCCTTGCCCTCGAAGGCGCCGGCGTACTGCGTGTCCTCGTAGGTGCAGTCGTCGCTCCACTGGGCGCAGGCGAGGTCCATGTCGCGCGCGTTCCACGCCTCGAAATAGGCGCGCACGCGCACGGCGGCGGCGCCTTCGCCGAAGCGGAGTGTCGCGCTTTGTATCGTGCGGTGGCGCGCGGGTCGCGTGGGCGGCGCGACGAGCGCCGCGGCGAGCGCTGGGATGAGAGTTAGGTAGCGCATAATAGCTGAGCTCATCGATGCTCGGTGAGGTGGCAAGGTGCAGTGTTGTTGCATCTAATGTTGCATATTCAATCGCAAACTTTGGCGCAATAAAGAGGCAAAAAAGAACAGCCAGCAAGTATGTCGCGATTCCAACCCGGGGGTCGGAGTCAAGTATGCATGCCAGAAGGCTGAGAAAGGTTGCTGGATGCTGGCTTGCTAGTGTAGCCACTACAATTTGATTATAGACCATGATAGCTTTTGGGGGCATTCCGCCTTTACTAAAATTTTACGTACCTTAGATCCCCCCTCCCACCTCGTACCAACCTGCGCTTCGCGCTCTTTACTTGCCCTCCTTAAGCCGCGCGACCTCCGCCTCGAGCTCGGCGACGCGCGCGCGGGCCCGCTCGAGCTCCGCGCGCGCGGCCTGGGCCTGGGCCTTGACCTCGGCCTGGACGGCCGCGAACTGCGCGCGCGGGTCGTCGGGGGCGGGCGGCCGCGGCGGGACCCGGGGCTGCGGCGGGAGCAGCGGGGACGCCATCGCGAGGGGGAAGATGAAGTCGTTGAGCAGCGCGGACCGCGCGGCCGCCGACGCCGCGGCGAGCTGGCCGAGCCCCGCCTCGGCCGTCGCCAACGCGGCCAGGGCCGCGTCGCGGAGCCCCTCGGGCAGCGCGGCCATCTTCGCCCGGAGCGCGGAGCGGCGCGAGCTTCGCGCCGACGATTTCCGCGACGGACCCGAGGTCCGACGTGTCCGCGGCGAAGCGCTGCGCGCCGTCGTAGAGCAGCGTCTGCGCGAGCGTCGACGCCTCGAGCCGGCCGCTCTGCGACGGGTCGAGCAGTTTCGCCCACTTGGCCTTGATCGTGGGGCTCAGCGCCGAGTAGAGCTTCCGGAAGTCCGCGGCGATGGTCTCCGCCGCGTCCTTGAGCTCGACGTCGACCTTCTTGAACGCGAGGAACAGGGCGGTCTTGCCGACGCCCGCGGCGAGCGTGCCGTCGCGGCCGCTCTCCGCGAGCTTCTCCTCGAACGCTTCGTCGGCCTCCTTGACGACGATCGCGCGCGCGCCGTCGAGGGTCAGCGCCGGATCGTAGTTGTCCCGCAGGGTGCACGTCGCGAGCACGTTGCGCAGGTCCCAGAGGAAGAGCTGCGCGAAGAGCTCGGGCGTGCGTTTCGCCCAGGTGTCGTAGAGGATGCCGACGAGCTCGTCGATCTCCGCGGCGCTCTCGATGGCCGCGCCGCCGACGAAGATCGCGCGCAGCCAGGTCTCGGCGACGCCCGCGGCCCGCACGCGCGCGACGAAGTCCTCGGCGAACTCGGGCGGCGCCATGCCCAGAGGCCGGTGCTCGAGGGCCTGCTCCGCGAGCTTCAGCACGCCGTCGGCGTAGGTGCGCGTGGCGAAGGTGCGGTCGACCTTCGTCTTGACGCTCTTGAGCTTGCTCTGCGCTCCGCCGCCCATGACTGCACGCGTGCGCGCGCCGCTTCCAGTGCGAGCGCGGGGGCTGCGTTCCAGCTACGGCGCTGCCCGTCAGGTTCAACGAGACATCAAAGGTGCTGTGGTTGTACTTAATGTTGCACTTAGTCGGGAAGCTGTCACGAGTCGACCCGTTCCAACGAGACGTCAAAGGTGATGTGGGTTGCACTTAGTCGGGAAGTTCCGGCGGGTCCATGTCGCGCGCCGCCGCGAAGACGGGGCGGTCGCGGAGCGCCGCGGCGCGGGGCCGGAGCTTGGGCTTGGACGGCGTGAGCAGGCCCGATGCCGTCGGCGCGAGGAGCGCCGCGACGTCGCGCGAGCACGCCGCGGGCGGCGGGGGCACCGCGCCGCGCGAGACGAGGGCCAGCGTGCGGTCCACGGACGACGCCTTGAAGGGCGTCGCCCCCGCGAGGAGCTCGTAGAGCAGCACGCCGAGCTGGTACACGTCGCCCGCGGGCCCGGAAGCGCCCGCGTCGAGGAGCTCCGGCGGCGCGTACTCCGGGCTGCCGCCCGGGCGCGGCCGCGGCTCGCGCTCGTCGCGGGCGCGGTCGAAGTCGCAGAGCACGGGCCGGCCATGTGTTCCGAGGAGCAGCACGTTCTCCGGCTTGACGTCCCCGTAGACGATCCGTCGCTCGTGGAGGTGCGCGAGCGCCTCGAGCACGCGCGCGGCGTAGAAGCAGGCGGCGGGCTCCGGGACGACGGTCGCGCCGTCTTCGGGGGCTCGCCCGGCGGACTCCGGGACGACGCAGCCGGGCGTCGCTTCGGGGGCTCGCCGTCGTCCCCACGCTTTCTTCACTTCGAGCAAGTCGCGCGTCCCGAGCTCGAGGACCGTGAAGAGGCGGCCGCAGTGAGAGAAGCAGCCGACGGCCGCGACGACGTCGGGGCAGCGCAGGGACCGCAGGAGCGCCGCCTCGGCGAGCGCGCGCGCCGGCGGCACCGCCGCGAAGAAGCCCGGCGCGGCCGCGTCGGCCGGTTCGTCGACGGAGAGGCCCTCGAGGCGCACCTCCTTGAGCGCCGCCGGGACGCCGCGGAAGGTGCCGCGGTAGATGCGCCCCGCGCCGCCGTCGGCGATGCGGGTCTCGATTACAAAGTCGCGGCGGCGCGCGTGGGTGCCTTGTTGGGCGGCGGCCCAGAGCGCCGCGACGTCGGCGCGCGGCGGCGGCGCGTCGTCGCACCAGCGCCAGGTCCTGAGGTCGGCTTCTATTGCGTCCGGGGTGGTGGGCTGCGGCTTTGCTCTTTTTGGTGTGCTGCGGCGGGCAATGGCAAAGCTGCCTCTGCTCATCGTCGGAGGCAGCCCGGCGAGGCGCGGCGAGCCAGTTGAGGTCAGCATTTGCCGCCTCAACTGGCTCGCTGCGCGCCGCTGGCAGGGGATCTTGCGGATTGAAGCAGCTCGATTTTGCGACTCGCCATCGACTCGAACCACCTCAATCCTTCTGTAGCCGGTGCGTACACCCATAAACCCAACCTCCTCCCATGCAACACACACCCGCGCCCTCGTCGTGCAAGCCCGCCGTCGATCACCAAAAAAAAATTGGCGTCGATCGGCGGCCGCGGCGCGCGCCTCGCCAAGATCCGGTCCGGTCCGGCGACCACCCCCGGCCGACCGCCCCCGGCAGCGCTCGACGCTCCCGCCCCTCGCGCATCCCCGCCTCCCATCCCCCCGCGACCGCCGCCGCCGCCCGCCCGCACGCAAGCCCTCAAATTTTCACCCGCCGCCCCGACCGCAGGATACTTTCTTCCGCCTCCGCAAAATGAAGTTCGCCGCCCTCCTCGCGTCCCCCGCCGCGGCCCTCGTGGCCCACAAGAGCGCCCTGCCCGCGGCCCCCGTGCGCGCCCAGGCGTCGTCCATGGAGATGAAGTACCGCGTCGCCGTCGTCGGCGGCGGCCCGTCGGGCGCGTGCGCCGCGGAGATCTGCGCGCAGGAGCCCAACATCGAGACCTACATCATCGAGCGCAAGTTCGACAACGCCAAGCCCTGCGGCGGCGCCATCCCCCTCTGCATGGTCGACGAGTTCGACCTGCCCGCGGACATCATCGACCGCAAGGTCCGGAAGATGAAGATGATCTCGCCGAGCAACCGCGAGGTCGACATCGGCAAGACGCTCAAGGAGGACGAGTACATCGGCATGTGCCGCCGCGAGGTCATGGACGGCTACCTCCGCGACCGCGCCGTCGAGTACGGCGCCATCCCCATCAACGCGCTCGTGACGAAGATCGACACGCCCGCGGACTCGGACAGCCAGGGCCGCTACACGATCCACTACAGCCGCAACGACCTCGGCCGCAAGGCCCCCGAGGAGTCCCTCGACGTCGACGTCATCATCGGCGCCGACGGCGCCAATTCGCGCGTCGCCAAGGCCATCGACGCGGGCGAGTACAACTTCGCCATCGCCTTCCAGGAGCGCATCAAGATCGACGACGAGAAGATGGCCTTCTACGACGAGCTCGCGGAGATGTACGTCGGCGACGACGTGTCCCCCGACTTTTACGGGTGGGTCTTCCCCAAGTACGACCACGTCGGCGTCGGCACGGGCACGGTCATCAACCGGCCGGGTATCAAGATGTACCAGGACGCGATCCGCGAGCGCGCGGGCGACAAGATCGCCGGCGGCAAGATCATCAAGGTCGAGGCCCACCCCATCCCCGAGCACTACCGCCCGCGCCGCGTCAAGAACCGCGCCATGTTGGTGGGGGACGCCGCGGGCTACGTGACCAAGTGCTCCGGCGAGGGCATCTACTTCGCGGCCAAGAGCGGCCGCATGGCCGCGGAGGCCGTCGTCAAGCTCATGAAGGGCGGCACGGTGCTCCCCACCGAGGAGGGCATCACCGCGGAGTACATCAAGCCCTACGACGGCCTCTACGGCCCGACGTACACGGTCCTCGACATCCTCCAGAAGGTCTTCTACACGAACAACGCGGCCCGCGAGGCCTTCGTCGACATGTGCCAGTCCGAGTACGTCCAGGACGTCACCTTCCAGTCCTACCTCTACAAGCGGCTCGTGACGCCCAACCCCGTCGAGGACATCAAGCTCCTCTTCGGCACCGTCGGCTCGCTCCTCCGCGGCCGCGCGATCGCGACGCCCGACAAGCCCTTCTCGAACCCCGTCGAATCCCTCAAGCGCCTCTAGGCGGGCCGCGAGACGCCGCCCAAGGCATCGTCCGCTACCCCGCTCCCCCGGTTAATGAGTATCCCCGTTCTTTTTCTAAAGGAGGTAAAGGGAGACCTCGGGGGAACCGCGTTACCCCCGGCCAGGGCCTCATGTTTGGCCGAGGTCCTGCATGTTGATCTCTCCACTAGCTCTAGCGTAAAAGTTAGATTAAGGTTAGGGTTAGATTAAGGTTAGGGCGATTTCGCCGGCGCACCCCTCCTGACACCTCTACCGCCGCGCGCGCGCGCGTCATACGTCCGGAAATTCTTAAAAAATTTTCGACTCAACTTCCTGAGAAAAGCTCAAATCCGAAGAGTTTTCGCGTGGACCTTAATCTAACCCATCTCACAGCTATGGCTCCGGCGCCGTGAGCGCGCGCATAGACGCAGCGGTCCAACGATGTCCGATTTGGACCCGCCGATTTTTGTCAGTCGTCTCCGTCGCCCGAGCTGTCCGCCGGCAGCGAGGGGCGCGCGTTTCCGGTGCCGGAATGGTCGGTTTAATTTTGCGCCGCTTAGCTCGACCTTAATCTAACTTTCACTCTACGTCGGCGCCTCCTCGACGCCGCGTGCGAGGCCGATCTAACACCGCGACCAGCCGAAGCGCTCGAACCGCGACGCGCCGGAGCTCACGAGCGCGAACACATCGCGCGTCGCAACATGCCGTCGAAAGCGCTCGTCGCCGCAGCGCTGCTCTTCGGCGCCAGCGCCTTCGTGCCGTCGGCGCCGCGCGCCGTCGCCCCGAAGGCGGCGGCCACCCACCGGACGGCGGCCCTCGCGGCCACGGTGGCCCCCGTGGAGGGCATCGACACGCGCGCGGGCATGGCCGCGGCCGTGAAGCCGGCGCCGGCGACGAAGGAGTGGGAGGTGCACAAGTTCGGCGGCGCGTCGCTCGCGGACGCGGGGCTCTACCGGACCGTCGGCGACCTGCTCATCCAGGAGGCCATGGGCAAGCAGTCCGACGGCGCCGTGCCGACCATGGCCATCGTGTCGGCCATGGGCGGCATGACGGATTTGCTGGTCAAGGTCGTCGACAGCGCCTTGGTCGACATCGACCAGGCCAAGGTCGACCTCGACGCGGCCGTCGAGCGCCAGCTCGGGACGCTCAACGAGCTCGCGCCGCCGGAGATCGTCGCGCCCATCGAGCGGCGCATCCGCGACGACGCGGCCGACGTGATCTCCCTCGTGCGCTCGCTGACGCTCATCAAGTCCGTGCCGGCGGTGACCATGAAGGTCGTCACGGGCTTCGGCGAGATCTGGTCCGCGCAGACGCTCCACGCCTACCTCCAGACCCAGGGCGTGCCCTGCGACTGGGTCGACGCGCGCGAGATCTTGGTGGTCAAGTCCGACTCCGCGGGCCTCGGCGAGAAGGGCTCGACGTCGACGACGGGCGTCGTGCCGCTCTGGGGCGAGACGTCGAAGCGCATGGCCGCGTGGTGGACCAAGTGGGGCCAGCCCTTCGAGAAGCTCGACTACAACGAGAAGAGCCCCATCCTCGTCTGCACGGGCTTCGTGGCGACGTCCAAGGACGGCGTGCCGACGACGCTCAAGCGGTCCGGAAGCGACTACTCGGCGACGATCTTCGCCAAATTGCTCGGCGCGTCGCGCGTGACCATGTGGAAGAACACGAACGGCGTCTACACGGCGGACCCGCGCCGCGTGCCCGAGGCCTTCCCCATCGAGAGCCTCAAGTACGACGAGGCCATGGAGCTCGCGTACTTCGGGGCCCAGGTGCTCCACCCGTCGGCCATGCTCCCGTGCATCGACGACAACATCCCCGTCTACGTGCGCAACATCTTCAACCCGTCCTTCGAGGGCACGGTCATCGAGGGCCGCTCCGACACGCTCGCGGCGTCCTGGGGCAAGGTCGAGGACGACGAGGACGCGGCGCTCATCAAGGGCATCACGTCCATCGACGACGCGTCGCTGTTGACGCTCGAGGGCGCGTCCCTCGCCGGCGGCGCCTCGGAGGTCGGCGAGAAGGTCCTGGCGGCCATGTCCAACGCCAAGGTGTCCGTGCTCATGATCACGCAGGCGAGCTCCGAGTCGTCCGTGACGATCGCGGTCCCCGCGAACCAGGGCCAGCTCGCGATCCGCGCCGTCGAGGGCGCCTTCGAGCTCGAGCTCGCGCGGTCGACCGTGGGGTCCGTGTCGCTCCTCGAGGACATGTCCATCGTCGCCATCGTCGGCGAGGGCATGGCGAAGCGGCCCGGCGCGTCGTCGACGTTCATGTCGGCGTTGGCCGGCGCGGGCGTCAACATCGCCATGATCGCCCAGGGGTCGTCGGAGCGCCAGATCGCCGTCGCCGTGCCCAAGGACGCGGCGACGCGCGCGCTCCGGGCCGCCCACGCGGCGTTCACGCTCGGCGAGAAGGCGACGTCCGTCGCGGTGCTCGGCGCGTCCGGCGCTTTAGGGGCGCAGCTCCTCAAGCAGCTCAAGGCCCAGCAGGAGACGCTGGAGACGGAGCTCAAGACGGAGTACAAGGTCATCGCCGTGGCCAACAGCGCGAAGATGACGCTCGCGACGGCGGACCAGACCGCGGGGCTGCTGGGCGAGCTCGGGGCCGGCGTCGAGCCCATGCTCGGCGACGACGACGTGGATTTGGACGCCTTCTCGGCCTTTGTGGAGGCGGACGTGAACCCGCAGCGCGTCATCATCGACGCGACGGCGTCCGAGGACATCGCGGCGCGCTACGAGGGCTGGATCGAGGCGGGCATCTCCGTCGTGTCGCCGTCGAAGCTCGTCGCCTCCGGCCCCGCGGGCCGCCGCGCGGCGTGCCTCAAGGCCGCGAAGCTCAACCGGGGCGCGACCTGGCAGTACGAGTCGTCCGTGGGCGCGGCGCTGCCCGTGCTCACGACGCTCCAGGACCTGCTGGCCACGGGCGACAAGGTCACGGAGATCCGCGGGTGCCTCTCCGGCACGATGGCGTACACCTTACGGAACCACCAGGAGGACAAGGCCTTCTCCGCGTCGCTCGCCGAGGCCTACGCCGCGGGCTTCACGGAGCCCGACGTCCGCGAGGACCTGAGCGGCGTCGACATGGCGCGCAAGGTCGTGATCCTCGCGCGCGAGCTCGGGTTGGACGTCGACGTGGAGGACGTCGACGTCGAGTCCATCATCCCCGCGGAGATGGTCGACAAGACCTACGTCGCGGACCCCGCGGGCAAGGCCGCGGCCGTCTTCGCGGACCTCAAGGCCATGGGCGTCGACGCGGCCATGGACGAGCGGCTCGCGGCGGCCAAGGCGGAAGGCAACGTGCTCCGCTACACGTTCATCGTCGACGCGGTCGCCAAGACCTGCGCCATCAAGCTCCTCCCCACGGGGCCCAAGGAGTCCCTCTTCCGCCTCAAGGAGAACGAGAACCTCGTGTCCTTCACGACCGCGCGCTACGCGACCGCGCCCCTCATCATGAAGGGCTCGGCCGCGGGCGCGGAGCTCGCGGCGTCCGGCATCTTCGCGGACCTCCTCCGCCTCTCGCGCACCTTCGGCTGAGCTGTAGCGCGGGGGGGCGCCCGCGGCGCGGCAGCCCCGCGGTTCCCCCCCTCCCCCCTCCTTTTCGCCCCGCCCGCGCCGCGGCCGCCCCCGGACCGCGCCGCGCTGCCCGCCGCGGGCACGTAGCTGCCCCCGGCGACCCCGCGGGCCTAGACCACGCCCTGCTGTTGACGGGTGCTTTTGGGGGGATCCGACGGTCGACTCGGGCCGTCGAGGTTCGCGAGCGCGCATATCGTGCGAGCGGCGCCGGCGCCGGGGGAGTTCGAAGCGCGCGCCGCGGCCCGCCGGGCTAAAAACTAAAAAAAGCAACTCGACCGATTCCTCGAAAAAGCAACTCAAACAATCAGGCTGCGAGCAGCCCTTTTGCAGCGTCGATGGACGAAGTTCTCGTCTTCTCCAGCCCGTAGCTCGACGCAGGCGCATAGTTGCGCAACGATCCCCGCGGCTGCGAGGACCGGAACCCTGTCGCGGACACATTCCCCGCGGGATGTCACTCCCGAGGATTGCGTCGCATCGCGCGCGGGGCGTCCCAAGGGGTCGGAAGAGGGTTTTCGGCGTCCCCCGCACCCTTTTCGACCGTGTTCGAGCGCACGGAGCATCGGGAATCGTTCGTCTATGTACCGCGGGCGTCCCATTTGATCCGCTCGGCCATCGACGTCGAAAACATCGACTGCCAACTCGCGCATAGAAACGTGGCGCGGCAGCCCGAGCGGCCCCCACGTCCAGAAACGCGGTCTGGGCCGACACCACCGCCCGAGCCCCGTCCCCAGTATGTGTCCGGTGGGATCGAGTACATCTCCAGCGGTGGAGGGCCACCCCGCGGTGCCGATCTCGGCCGTTTCGTCGTCCCCATGGAGGCCCGGAACGCCGACTTCACGGCGTCGGCCGCTGCAGTAGGAAATGTGCTGAATCCGCCTCAGTGGCCCGAAGAACCCGTCCCATGCAATCACCTACTGCAGAGAGACACCTTCACCACTGCGGACTCGGCCACGCTCGGAGCGCGTCCATCGCGTGTAATTGCTTCAATAATCGCAACGATGCAGCTCCTGAGGTGTTGCTTTTGATATTTTTTAGCCCGGCGGGCGGATCGAAGGCCGCTTCGCACTTCCCGCTTCGTCATTTCGAGCAAAATTCGCAGAGCAAGCTCTTGGGGTGTCACCCGAATTCGCGCTGCCACCGTGACACGCGCTGCCACCAGCGCTGCTGTCGTTGCACCATCGCTGCTGCCAAGAGCCGCCCGAAGCGACGCGCGCGTCGCACGCGCAGAAGCCCGCATTGCAGGAAGCGCCCGAACACGAACATGGTCGACGTCGCCCAGGGCCGCGCAGCCCTCGCGCCGCTGCAAACGCCGGCGCCGCCGCCGTTCCCCAAGCCCCTCGGCGCGTTCACGGCGCCCAAGCGCGTGCGCTTCGAGGACAGCATGGACGTCGACCGCGCGTCGTTCACGTCGTCGGACGGTATCGACCGCCCGGCCGCCGCCGAGCTGCCCAAGGCCACGATTTTCCAGACGAAGCAGCTCCCCGTGGGCTACGCCTTCTCGGAGCTCCGCAGCGAGAGCAACGACGAAACGTTCTTCGGCGACCTGTCGACGCTCTGCCGCGGTTCGGACGACGGCCGCTTCGCCTGCGACCACGAGCTTCCGCGCCCCGTGCTGGCCAAGACGACGTCCGCGGCTTCGGTGCTGTCGGCCATGTCCCTGGACGACGAGCCGCCCCTCGACGAGCTCTGAGAGCGCCGCGAGCCGCGTCTCTCGCGCGCCCGGCGGACGCGCGCCGAGCAAATGCACATAATCGCTGTGGTTTGTTTCGTTTGTCGGGCGATGGCGCATGATGCGTGGCTAGAGTGGGGGTTTAGGCTCATGAGCACGGTCGAATCAGGCCAAGCAGGCCTCTTGCAGGCTCACGCTCGACTACGACGGGAGCGGCGCGCCGCCGCCGCGCTCGGTGCCGTTGTCCGAGAGCTTCAAATTGTCTGGGAGGTGGGCGCCGATAAAAGAGGCCCCTGCACGCGCGCGCGACACGTTGAAACGACGCAAGTGAGAATTATAACACACCTGAAGCAATCACCTGAAGCAATCGAAACAAAAGATGGCACCCGCGCGCCGCGGTTCGCGCGGTAGCGCGAGCACGGCCGGCCGGTCGAGCACCGGCCGCAAGAGCGTCGCGGCCGCGCGGCCGCGGCGCTCCGCGGGCAACTACGACAACGACGACGACGACGACGACGACGACGACGAAGAGGAGGAGGCGCCCGTGGCGCTGCGGCGGCCGCGCCGCGGCTCCGCCATGGAGGCGGACGACGACGACGACGACGACGATGATGACGAGTCGTCGAGCGAGGAGGAAGATGACGAGCCGCCCGTGGCCCTGCGGCGGCCGCGCCGGGGCTCGCAGGCCGAGGAGGAGGAGGAGGAGGAGGACTCGTCCGACGAGTCGTCGTCCGAGGAGTCCGAGGCTCCGCTCGCGGCGCGGCGGCCGCGGCGCGGGTCCGTCGACGAGGACGAGCCGGCGCCGAAGCGCGGGCGGCGCGACCTCGACATGCTCAAGCCGTCGCGAAAATCCGGCGACAGCCCGCCCTGGAAGCTCGCGGGCGCGTCGTCGTCGAGCGAGGACGACGACGACGACGACGACGGCGTGCGGCGGACGCGGCGCGCGCCCAAGCCCCGGGCGCTCATGAACGTCACGGGCGACACGCCGAACAACGGCCTCGGGGGCCGCCCCCGCGAGCGCAAGCGCGCGCGGAGCCCCCAGAGCCCGACGTCCGGCGGCCGCTACAAGGCCGACTCCGAGGAGGAGGCGGAGCGGCGGGGCCGGCGCCGCGAGAACCTGGAGCTGCCGACCTACGGCATGGACTCGCCCGAGCGCGGCGGCCGCGACCGCCGCGACCGCGGCCGGCGCCGCCGGTCCGCGCCGCGGCGCGCGAACCCCTACTTCTCGACGTCCGACAGCTCCGTGGAGCCGCGGTCCAAGTCGGACCGGAAGAAGGACCGCCTCTTCTCGTCGGCGCCCGTCGGCGAGGACAGCTCCAGCGACGACGACGACGACGACGACGACGCGCGCCCCCGGGGCCCGCCGCCCGCGCCGAAGCCCTTTGTGGGCGTCGCGGGCCTCGAGGCCCACCTCAAGTCCCTCGAGGAGATGGTGCTCCTGCCCCTCAAGCACCCGAACCTCTACGCGTCCCTCGGCGTGGCGCCGCCGCGGGGCGTCCTCTTCCACGGGCCCCCGGGCACGGGCAAGACGCTCCTCGCGCGGCAGCTCGCGGAGGCGTGCTCCGCGGAGCTCGTCGCGCAGCGCAAGGCCGGCGACAAGGCCGCGAAGAAGGCCCACCCCGGCGGCGTCTCCTTCTTCGTCCGCAACGGCGCCGACTGCCTCTCCAAGTACGTCGGCGAGGCCGAGCGCGCGCTCTCGACGCTCTTCGAGGAGGCGCGCGCGAAGGCGCCGTCGATCATCTTCTTCGACGAGCTCGACGGCCTCGCGCCCGCGCGGGGCAGCGGCCGCGGCGGCGGCGGCGGCGAGCTCGCCCAGCACTCCGTCGTCGCGACGCTCCTCGCTTTGATGGACGGCTTGAGCGACCGCGGCGACGTCGTCGTCATCGGCGCGACGAACCGGCCGGACGCGCTCGACCCCGCGCTCCGGCGGCCGGGCCGCTTCGACCGCGAGCTCAAGTTCGTCGCGCCCGACGCGGCCCAGCGCGAGGCCATCCTCGCGCTCCACACGTCGTCCTGGGCGCCCGCGTCGCGGCCGCGGCCGCCCCTACTGAAGGCGCTCGCGAAGCGCTGCGGCGGCTTCGCGGGCGCGGACCTCAAGGCGCTCTGCGCCGAGGCGGCGCT